AACCATATTTTGGGTGACCATGTCCCTTTTTGGTGGGGTTCTTTGAGTTTCTTTCTCACACTTCCCTCTATCCCCAGACTATATAATCTTTTCTGCAAGCAATCTCCCCCCCCCCCCACTTTTTATGGCTTTCTCATATTTCCCCAAGGTCAAGTCTACATTCCTTTACACTATGGTCAGGTTTAAATGTAAATAAATGGTAATGACAAACTGCCTTTATACTGGAAACCTTTGAAGGGGAAGACTTCAAGTAATATTTTTGGTTGTCAAATGGATGGGAAAATGTAACATGGATTTAGGAATGGTTTGTGAACCTGGGAATTCTAAAAAGTTTCAAGAGAAGATAATGAGAGCCCACTTCCATAATGCTGACCAAAAAATTACAATGGGTGAAGGCACTAGGAATCAATACTGACTTAAGAGTATATTTGCCTATTATGTGGCTTATACTAAGGTTTTCATTTGTTTCTCATTTCCAAATGAAGAGAATCTATGCCTACTTTTCAGCAGCTGATTGCTGGAGCCCTGACAACCTCAGACAGGACTCTAAGGCCAAGATTATCTACTCCAAATTAAGTGAATGTGCAATCATACTACTTTGTAGAAACTATTCATGCTTCTAATTGTACTCTTATTACCTCAAGAGACCTTTTGTTCTCTAAACCTCTTTCCCTCAAGAAACTATATGTTCCCCTGTTCTGTAGGTAGGACAAAGGCTGTTTGTGGTGCAGTTATGTTCTGCCTTATTTCTAAAAACTTACTTGTCAGTTTTAGTATATGATTAGTTTTTAATTCAGCTATTTGAAAAAAAAAGCTATTTCCCGTCATATACTTGAGTTTTATTAACCTTCATGAAAATTAGAAATCTTATCATAGTGGATAACAAATCATATTTTGACCATGTAAAGTCAGCCACAAGCAGGGACCAAGTGATCCGCCAAAAGCAGTAACTGATAAGCAGTTACAGATACCCATCTCATTCATCTCAACAGAATGCGGCATTCAATCCAACAATAAATGTCATGTAGCAAATCAAATGCCCTTTACAGTTTTAATTATATAAAAGAGGGCATTTAACAACTTTTTTGCTCAGCAGAGATTTATCATACTGGATAAACAGTGGAAAGAGGCCCTACAAGGTTCTTAGTTACAGAATAAAAAGTAGAACTTAAATGGGAAAGCTAACATGTATGCTCTGATTTTATTGACACTTGCAAGATTTTCAGTATAATTAATGGAACATTCACTATTTTCTTAAACTTATAAGTTGGAAGTGGTCATTCAGGCCATCTGGTCTAATCCCCATCTCAGTAAAGGAATCACATTAAAGTATCCCTGACTAAATATCTTTCTAGCCTTGAATACATTCAGTGAAGAGGAACTCATTATTTTTTCACAGCTTTTATTACTGAGGTGTGTTCTTTTTCCAGCAAATGAAATTTGTCTTCCTGTGTTTTAAAACTAATTTGCCTTCTTGTCAGCT